ATATTTTTGTTCCTAATTCCTGAACAATCTTTTTATTGTTCCTAAATCCCTGTCCGAATCCTTTAATTTTGTTCCTAATTCCTGAACAATCTTTTAATTGTTCCTAAATTCCTGTCCTAATCATTTATTTTTGTTCTTAATTCCTGAACAATCTTTTAATTGTTCCTAAATTCCTGTTCTAATCCGTTAATTGTGTTCCTTAAAGTTAAAAATCGAGTTTTTTTAGTCTTTAGTCATTAATTTTGACTCTTTTTGAGTCTTAAGTCAAAAAAATTTCGCCTGCGGCACGATTTTTTGTTCCTAATTATTAATTTTTTTGTTCCTAAAAAATCTTGCCCTCCCCCCCCCCTCACTTAAATCCTGTATCCGCCCCTGCTGAAAACCTGGAGTTTAGGGGAGACTTGAAACTCAAACCTTCACGAAGGATGTCTTAAGCCATCCCTGCAAAGTTTGATTTGATTTAATTTCATTACAATATAACGATCTCAAGGTTAATTTAAGCCCTTTGCTTTAAGTGTAGTCTGTTAATGAGTTACTAAATGATTTGACAAAGAAAGAAACAAGTTTTGAGTTGCAGAGAATCGAGTTGGTCAAGTAGCTCCATTCTTTTGCCATTTCTTAACTAAATTAATTATAACATTTGTCTATTATTAGACTTTGTGTACACGATTTCAGCTTTCATGAATTATGTTGACGTTTAACAGGATTACGAAAAGACATATTACTGGAAGAACCGGAGCAAAATCTAATTTAATTGTCAGTTTCAACACCTAATGTATATTTGTGACATTTTGCTTTTGTTGTATATCGTTGAAAACGTAAGTCATCACTCAACTTAATGCTAGACGATTAATCAGTAATCACTTCATTCGTTTTGAGAAGAGGTGCGACATTCCCTAGTTTTAAGGCTTTAGTATTCTTTTTTTTTTACAAGAGTATGATAAAATCGGTTCTGAATGTCGTCTTATAAATTATTTTCGCTAGGCTTTAGCATTCCTCATTGTTTTTTTTTTTATAAAAGTATGATAAAGTCTTTTCTGAATGTCGTCTTATAAATTATTTTCGCTAATCCGCTTAGGAACTATGAAGAATTTTCTAGAACATGTTTTCATCAGCTGATTTCTGTCAAAACAAAACAATATTTGCCGGACGGAGTTAATGAAACAGAATTCACGAGCATTTGTTAATTTATTATAGACCTCACAATATAGCATTCATATTACCATTAAAACCATGGTTATTCAAAACAACATGTCGCGACCAAAGAATCATAGAATTCGTGTGATAACATTTTATTTGTAATTTTCAGAAAACAATTTTTGATCTTTACTATTATTACTTTTTCTTGCCGTGAAGTGAGACTTATTCTATACTTAGGTAATTACCTACTATGCGATATTTGGACGGCCCCCCCCCCCCATCAATTTTGTACATGAATCTTTTATGTAATACATGGATACAATTGTTAATGTGGCCACAGTGCCCGGCCCCTTAGCCTATCCTAGCCGCAGCGCTCGACCCCTCTAGTGTGTCCTAGCCGCAGCGTTCGGCCCATGGAAATTGTCTTAACCTAACCTAACCCCAAAATAATACAGAATAAATAATAATAATTTTGCTGACGATTTCTTGGTCAAGTTCAAAATTGATAGGAGTGGGGGGGGGTCCAAAAATCGTATACTAAAACGGACCACATATTTAAAAATGGGGATCGTAACACTAAATGTACTAACATGTAACCGTCCAAATGTTGACAATATTGCTGTGATTTATATCGTTGTAAATAAAAACATTGACTGGTGTATGATGGAGGAATGCAGCCACAAGAAAATTATCTCCGAGCCGCGATTGATGTCATATAGTGGATTAGCAGTAGCGCCCTCATTAATGGAGGATATTCCGTTGCGCTGTCCTAAATATATTTGTGACGTCAATAGTGGCTCGTAAGCCAATTGTGTGTGGCTGCCTCTCTTCCAGTGTTATAAACATCTTAACCAACTATTGATGTATTTTTGTGATTTGTTTCAGAAAGATGAGCGTTGAGTTGAGCAGTTACAGGGACCATACTCCGGATTATCATATCGTTGATGTTTACGAAGTACTTATAACTTCTACTTTTTTGTTATTAAAAATATCAGTTACGAGGTTTTGATATTTTTAACTTTTTTGATCATATCTTGATAATTGAGCAAATTTAAATCGAGCAAATTGATTAATTGATTGAAAATAATTCTTGCATAACTAGCCGGGCCTCGATTACAGAAGGTATATTAATGAGCCGTAAACTTTAATTATATTTAAGTCAGTCGATTGATTATTGTGATGGGCATAGATACTGCTCAATCAAGGCAAGTAAAATTAAAATTTTTTTGAAATGGCAGTTCGCATAGACTGCTTTCTTCAGGTATACTATACGCTCAAGTATACTTATCACATAAATGTCGTATCAATTTAATTAGTTGTTTAAATAGTCTCTGTTAGATTTTATAAAAAAACCTAAATTTTTAACCAACAAAAATGATGCTCTGTAGAGTACGATTTTTTATTTTTTCAAACCTTTGTATTTTGAACAATTATCTTTTATTTTAAATTTAACCTTGTTCTATTTTAAGTTCAACGTTATTCGTTTTTTAAATTGATTTTTGTTTAAAATATATCAAAATTATGTGTTGTAAAGAGAAAATGTAATTTTTTGTTATAATTAGATTAAATTTGTGTTCTGTATTTAGTACAATTGTATAATATTTAGAGTACAACTTTGTACGTGGGTAATATGAGTTTCTACACAACGGAAGAACAACTATACGAACTGTTCAGTAAATGTGGAGAGGTAAATCATGTTTTAAATTTATTTTTTAACTTAATAGTGATATAAATAGAAGTCATTTTCAACGTAGAAAGGGCGTCGATCTGGTTGTTTAAAGCCTAAATATTCTTTTGGGGATTGTATCTTACAAATATTTTCGGAGGTGGGGAGGGAATTTTATTTTCCCCTGAAACCACATTTTTAAACCATTTATGCGAGAGTGGGGGGGGGGGGGTATTAAAAAAGAAAAGAAAATTGTTCCCAAAGAATCTGCTAAGCCATTACTTTGGTCTAGGTTAAGAAGATAGTGATGGGCCTGGATAAATTCAAGAGAACCCCCTGTGGTTTCTGTTTTGTTGAGTACTACGTTAGGTTAGTAAAATCGACCTTCTTGGAATACTATTAAGTTATCGCATTTAAAAATCTTTGTAAGGATCAAGTAGAATATAGTTTTTAGAAAAGTGCGTCCCAGATTTTCTATTTGAAATGAAGTTCATTTGAACCTGACAATCAATTTTTTTTAAGTTTTCAAAGTTAGTTTTACAATTAGAAATGGTTAAAATACAGTGGTTAACTAACTCCCAAACTCTTTAAACCAATATCTTTTTAGAAGAAATGAGAATAAAGTGTAAAACGAAGTATAAATTGAGTTCTGGGGTTTTAAGAGTTCTTATTTTTGTTGTTGTTTAGAGAGGATGCTGAGAATTCTATGAGATATGTAAACGGAACCAGATTAGACGACAGGAAAAGAACCATTTAATTTATTCAATGTGTATTATTTTTTATTTCAGATTGAGTTTATTGTACATAAAGTTTCATTTTTTGCCTTATTTGCTTCAAATGTTATGCCATTTTCATCAATAATTTTCATATAATTTGATCTGGTTCTTTGATCAGAATTATTCGAACAGACTGGGATGCAGGATTCATTGAGGGTAGACAATATGGCAGGGGGAAATCCGGGGGTCAGGTAGGGAATATATTTATTGGGAAAATCCGGGGGTCAGGTAGGGAATATATATATTGGGGAAATCCGGGGGTCAGGTAGGGAATATATATATTGGGGAAATCCGGGGGTCAGGTAGGGATATATATGGGGGAAATCCGGAGGTCAGGTTGAGAATGTATGTATTGGGGAAATCCGGGGGTCAGGTAGGGAATATATATATTGGGGAAATCCGGGGGTCAGGTAGGGAATATATATATTGGGGAAATCCGGGGGTCAGGTAGGGAATATATATATGGGGGAAATCCGGAGGTCAGGTTGAGAATGTATGTATTGGGGAAATCCGAGGGTCAGGTAGGGAATATATATATGGGGGAAATCTGGGGGTCAGGTAGAAATATTCATATGAGGGAAATCTGAGGGTCAGGTAGGGAATATTTATATGGGGGAAAGCTGGGGGTCAGGTAGGGAATATTTATATGAGGGAAATCTGGGGGTCAGGTAGGGAATATTTAAATGGGGGTAATCTGGGGGTCATGTAGGTAATATTTATTCGGGGGAAATCCGGGGGTCAGGTAGGGAATATTTATATGGGGGAAATCTGGGGGTCAGGTAAGGGAATATTTATATGAGGGAAATATTATCTTGTTGATTGTGTAATGTGTACGGTTTATTGTATATTTCAGTTGGTTCGTTTTTAGTTATTTTGTCGCCTATATTTTCTTTCAGGTTCATAATTTCGTATAGAAGAAGAAGAAGAGCAAATGTGCTTTTTTTGCTTATCTCTGCCAAATCTTGACCCTGATAGAATTGATATGGAAAATTACGATCCAGTTCTAAAAACGATGCAATATCAAACGTTTTGTTAAAATGTGCCCATTATCCTTGTATTCTTGTCATTAAAGTCTGTACCGTGTGCAATTTTTTATACTGACAAAACGATTTTGTATTAATTTAGGTCCGAGACGAGTATAGAACAGATTTTGACAGCGGACGAGGCGGCTATGGTAAAATCGTCCAGCAGAAGTTAGAACAACCTGACTTTTTGACGTAACCACATCCATCCGACGATACCGTATGGGGTTCTCTTTCAAGAAGGAAACCTTGGCATATTTCTAAACCGCAGATTCTCAACTTTTTTTCTTTTTTGTCTCATTTTTGTCCTCTGCAATCATACCTTTGTAAAAATACTTGATTGTTTTGTTTATATTTTCAGATATTTCAGCGGAGAAAATGTCGTCGGGGCAATCCAGGGCGGACGAAATCATGGCGAAGCTGGGGAAGGCGAAGGTTATTTTTTTATTTTTTCATAATAAATGAAATTATAATTATAATACAGTTGTCGTCGTGCATTTCAATATTACGAAGACGACTTCTATTTTAATTGTGATTTCTACCAAGCTGCTCGGCTGCTAGGCTGCTAGGCTACTAGGCTGCTCGGCTGCTAGGCTGCTAGGCTACTAGGCTGCTCGACTGCTAGGCTGCAAGGCTACTAGGCTGCTAGGCTGCAAGGCTACTAGGCTGCTAGGCTGCACATAAAAATGGAAACATATAGAAGCTGTCAATTAACAAATTCTTTTAGTGTTTACAGAACTTGTAATTTTAAAAAAGCGTGTTATGAATTAAAGCCTATACAGAAAAGTAGTCTTAATTCTAGTGATATAAAGTAATACGCGCTTTTAATTTCAATTAATTGCAGGTGAAGAAGCAGGCAACGAACTGGAGTTGGGACGACGAGGAGTTAATGTACGAGATGAACCAGAGGGACACCAAGAGGACTAAGCGCAGGTTGGAGAAGAGTAAGGAGACGGAGGAGTCCAAGAAAATGAAGAAGGATGAGAAGCTTCTCAACACATATATGAGGGAGGAAAGAAAACTGTTCCTGGGAGGTAGATTTCCACTTGTACATAGGGATGGGCACTTAAGTGTTTATTAGAAATTGTTTTGAGATTTTCGGAACGATTGTCAAAAAACTCTTAAATTCGATTTCTCTCTCAAGATCTGCTTTTTTAACAATTTAAGTTTATAGCACAATATTTCAACTTTTTATTCAAGAAAAAATCTGTCAAAGAAAATTAGCAAATTAACTCAGTTTATCAAGTGATTGATTGATTGTTTGATTACTTGCTTGCTTGATTGATTGGTTGATTTATTGATTGATTTACTCACCCAATTCTAGGTATATCTGAAGATACGACGGAGAAGGATTTAAAGAAAGTATTTTCACAATTCGGTACAATCATTGATTGTAAGGTGAAGCATTTTTATTTTTATTTTTACTTCAACTGAAGCATCTTTTCAGCATGATGGAAAAACGGGGGGAAAAAACAATAGTCTTGAATTTTGAATCAAAATATCTAGGGGTATATACCTTATACAGGTTTACCCACAAAGGACGAGACTTTAATAACGACCTGAAACTGTTTACATATGACGATCTAAAGGTTTAATTCTGTCTATAACATGTTTAAATTGGTCTCGCAAAAATTTAAACAAGTGTGCAGCTAAAAGCAGTGCAGCTTTTGCGGGTAACCCTGTATGTGCTTCAACGATAATTGCGACCCTTATATTACTTCACTAGAGATTTGTTGGTGTCTGAAATTGGCCGTTAAAAAAAATAGCTGACCACCTTTTTTTTACAAAGATATGTCTTCTCTTTCTTCAAATTATATTTTATCCCCAGGTTATGAGAGATGCGGCTACTGGAACCTCTCGAGGCTTCGGTTTCGTCACCTTTGCGTCCTCGTTCATGACGGAGGCTGCCCTGGACAAGGCTCCCTTTGAGATCTGTGGAGCCAAGGTGCAACCTAAACGTGCAACCCCTGACAAACCTCGATACAAGCAAACCAATACAGAATTCGATACAACACTAGACAAGGCTTGTGAAGGGAAACGCAGTATTTTTATTGGTGAGTATTTTATTAATAAAAAATCATGTTGTCTAAATGAGTTTTTTTTGTTTGTTCGTTAAACACCACTCGTTTAAATGAAAATATAATGGTTAAAAATTCCAGAGTTAATTGATATGTTCTTTCTATTCTTTTTTTAGACCGATATTTATGGCGTTTTATTTATCAAAGAACGGAAACAATTTATTTTTATGTTCAGGTGCTTTGCGGGATAATATTTCTGAGGATGATTTGGAACAGTATTTTGCAGGTAAGGACCTTGCATGCATATGCGAATTGGTGTGAAAACGAAGCGGATTAAACATGATTTCTGAGACATTCTCTACTTCTAAAAGAATGGAAAGGAGTTAAAAGAAATTATAACCTGTTTTTCTTCTGTAAAATTCTCTTTTGCATGAATTTGCCCTTTTAGTTTTCACATCACCATATTGAATTGATTATTCTTATTGACTAGGATTTGGTCGGGTTGTAAGAGCCTGCAGATTAACGGATAAAGATACTGGAGAAAAAAAGAGGTAAATACAGGGATTAGATCCAATAATCTGGACCTACGAGCTCACAAGAGAGTTAATTTGAAGAGAGTTTAAAATAAAATCGGTCAAGCTGGTTTGAAATAGTTTGGTTGAAATTAGTTCGGACTCTGAACTAATTTTGAGAAACTCAATGTAATTCACTTTTAATTATTTACCCAACTTGAGAGCTTGTTTTGACGATATTTATTTAAAATAACAAGACATTTAACTTTTTTTCAAGTGATACATTGATGCATACAATTTCCCTTTTAATTTTTATGAATTTTCTGTTCAGGTTTGGATTCGTAGATTTTGCAGATTACGGCGTTGTACGAAAAATCATGAATATAACAAAACATTATATCAAGGGAAAGCGGATACGGATAGATATGACCAGACCTAGAATAGGTAAATAAGCGGATACGGATAGATATGACCAGACCTAGAATAGGTAAATAAGCGGATACGGATAGAAATGACCAGACCTATAATATGTAAATAAGCGGATACGGATAGATATGACCAGACCTAGAATGGGTAAATAAGCGGATACGGATAGATATGACCAGACCTAGAATAGGTAAATAAGCAGTTAAATACTTCTACGGAGCCTCTAATACATTGAATGATTGAGTGATGATAATAACACTAATAAAATCATAAAAATTAAAGAATAGAACTAAGGAGAGTGGGATAGGATTTGTTCACATCTTACTGTGACGTGTTAGGATAGATCAGGAACAATAACAAAGATTGTTAGGCTTGGTATTCCTGAGCAGGGCAGGAGGGACTGACCTGATGAATGATTGTTTACCAACGAGGTTAAAGTATATAGATTGATGATGTACGCTAATCCTTTACTTATTGTACAGGCCATGTACTTCACTTCCAAAGGTCAATCTGTATATTACAGTACTCGTATTCGTTTTTCATGTAATTATTAAAATCCACTACTCCTTTATCGTGTGCAGGATTCCATTTTCACAGGAAGATGATTCACAGTCTTTTACAGAGCAATATTTCATCGTTTATAAACTGTTCTGAGAAAAATGAGTAAAATTCAAGATTCAATACCTGCCCATACACTTGTCCTCCGAAAGCGTACTGCATATTTGATTTTTGTACTGTATGAATAGGCCACAATCTCTTAAGATCCTTTATCAGTAAACTATCCCAAGTGTACACACGGAGAGGTAGTTAAGATCCAGCCCCCCTGTTGTTTACTAAATGTTGTTTGTTTACATTAAAACTAGGTCTAGAGCTGTCCTCATACATCAGAGTAGAATGTAAACAAGCTTATTCTTTTTTTTAAGTTCTAACCTGCACAGTGCACAATGCTACAATAGATTTTAAAATTATCAATGTTTGGGATAAGGGGGAAGAAATGTCCTTGGATGTCCACAAAATGTTTAAATTTTTAATATGTTTTAAAACTTTACGTTTGATAATATTAAGATTCTTATTTTAGAGTTCTCTCATCAGACGAAGACAGTGTATGTTGGTGGATTAGAGGACGGTATTGATGACCCGGAGTTACATGCTTACTTCTCAGAGTTTGGATTCGTTACTAGAGCTCTCAGGTACAGTTAGGAGTAGCTAGGGGGAATCAGGGGCTTACTTCTCAGAGTTCGGATTCGTTATTAGAGCACTCAGATACAGATAGGGGTAGCAAGGGGGAAGGGGGGCTTACTTCTCAGAGGTTGGATTCGTTACTAGAGCTCTCAGGTACAGTTAGGAGTAGCTAGGGGGAATCAGGGGCTTACTTCTCAGAGTTCGGATTCGTTACTAAAGCACTGAGGTAAACAGCTAGGGATAGAGAAGTGAGGGGGGGGGGGGGTTTCCCCCAAATTCCGGATTAGTTAATCGTATTAGTGAATTCAGGTATTTACAGTAAGTGTAAATAGGATGGGGGGGGGGGGACCTAAGGGGGAATTGGAGTCTTTTTGAATTTGATTGCAACATATTTAATTGATTTTATCAGTAAAATGGGGAGAAATTGGATGGATAAAATGTGTCTAAAGAGGGATAAACTTGCCAGCGGTGGTTGTTCATCCCTACCCCCCCCCCTCAGGAAAAAAAAACATCTGAATTCTAAATATTAAATACCCTGAAAGAGATATTCTTGTTTTTAGAATACCCGACAAGGATGGTCCAAAGCGTAAATATGGATTCGTCGACTTCGACGATTATGACGCAGTTGATATGGTTGTGACGCAGCGGGAGCATTATATTCACGGACACAGGGTGAAGGTTGAACTCGCTTTACCCTTGATTAACGACACCCTGTATGAATGTCCAGAGGCTAGCGCTACTACTACGGAAACATGGGAAGAAAAGGTAAATTTTTCACTTGGGATTTAAGGAGTCATTTAAAGGGACTGTAAGTGTAATTTCAAGTGACCCTTTATGCAAAGATGACAATGCCCGATTCACAACAGTACCCTTAAAAGCTTTGTCCTATAGTATGAATTATATATATATCAATGTTTGCAATTTTGAAACCTTTTAAACTTTTGCCTGATAAGGAGATATCTTCATTTATGAACTGAAAAATTGATTTATTTTAATTGTGTGTTTTCTATAATAGTGACTTGTGGATTTATACTCATTGACAAGGTAAAAAAACAAGGAACGTTAATTGCTGTTGTATATTCTCTGCGAACATATTGAAACCAGTTCTCTCTGAGCTGTGTTTGTAAACAAGAATAGATCCATCAATGCAAGGTTATAATGCAAAGAAAGTTATTTCAGAGGTGTACGCATCTTTTGTACTGCAGTGTACTGTCTCGGGGTGGTAATTTAAACACAAGACGGATGTCGAAGTCTGACATAAAAAATCAATGAAATATTCTTGAAACTATTATGTGAATTATCAAAATTTAATTCTTTTAACCAACTCGGATACTAAACGAACACTGATGCTGTGAGTGATGCATCTATTCTTGTTTACAAATTCCGTCCAGAGAAAATAACTTTTACTGCCTTAATTTTTCTTTTTGTATCCGAGGAGGTGGGTACACGGGAGAATATACTTCTGCTCAGTAATGTCTTATTTTTAGAGGATTTTAAAAAATGCAGAAGTTCTCCTATGATTTTCCTTAGTGTAGCATATGATTGATCCCAGTACTACAAGCAAGCTAAAAGATTTACATTTGAATAACTTAGTTTTTTTAAAGAATTAATTACTAACGGATGTTGCTAGAGATAAAATCATTACATTTTGATAATTTTAATTATTTATGTAATAATTTCTTATGAACAGAATATTTCATCGATTTTTATGTGAAAGATTGATCCCATGTCAGGCTGTGACGCCTCTACTCTTTTGTTTATTTCACACCCAAGAGACAGTACACTAAAGTACAAAAAATGCGTACACCTCCGGAATAACTAACTTTACATTATAAGGCTTTGCTCTGTTAGAGAATGAAGAATTTTTTTCAATGTTATACTTTTAAGTTAGAAAAACTACGATATCTTCCCTATTAAGGTTATCGTTGTAAATTGGGCATAAACCACTTGAAGTTACGCCGACATTTTAAAAGAATAATTAAACAGTGACTCAAAATTGTTGAGGGAATCTATGTGTACGTAACGATGTACACTGTACAGTACATGTATTGTAGGTACAACGGAAGTTGCAGTACGCTATCCCGGATCAAGGAGCTTGGGGAGAATCATTTAATTACGAGATTTTTGTAAAAGGAGGTCCTGAGATACTCTCCAGTCAGGTTAGCTAGATTCTATGGGTATTTTAAATACCAAATATTAAAATAAAGGGTATGGAGGAGATGTCCTGTTTGATAAGGGTGGGAGGGAGTCCCTGTCTTCAATTTTGGTTAAAATCTTTCAATTTTTTGGCTGCTCGCCTAATTAGTGTTCATTTCCTAAAATATAATTGTATTGAATTTTAATGACCTCTAATGACCTCAACAAATAGAAAATGTTTCAACTTTGGCTTTACGTATTGTAACAAAAGCTAGGATCCCAAGAAATAAACTAGCAGCAACGAATCTAGCGTTTTACCCTCTAATGACCTCTTAACGACATCTAATGATCTAAAATGACCTTCAAAATGAAAATGTTTTAACTATGGCTTTATGTTTATAAACCTACAGGATTGAAATTTTTCATGCACACAGGTATGACCTAGGGCTACAACTTTGCTTTTATAAAGTTTGCTCTCAGAGCAATAGTTTAGGCTCCTAAGGCTCGGCACCGAACTGGCACCGAGTCGGCCCTCAATAGGTTTGGTTAGCATACCCTAACCAAATCTAGGAACCCAGAGCTAAAAGAAACGAATCTATCCATTTGCTGAATATTTTAGGTGAAAATTCCTCGTGGAATGCTTGAGTACGTGGTTGGTATGGCGGGGAAGGTTATTGAATCTATTGCTGAGGATACAAAAACTAGGTTAATGATCAAGAAACCAGATATGGGATCCAAGTAAGCTTTGTTAAATTGTTAAAAATTCAATTTTTTAGAAAACTACTTAATTGAGCGAAGTATCATAATAAATTACTCTTGCTTTTGTTTTAATCTATATCTTTTGATTTAGTAGTCTTGTCTTCTATATAAAGGATTAAATACAAGATTTTAACTTTTTGAAATCCATTCATTTAGAAAGTATTTTAAGGTGATATGATATGAAACTTCTGAATTTTGAAAATTGAATGACCAAAAAGTATTTTAAATCATTTTAAATCCAATGCAAGCCACTTAATACAATGTTTGTAAATGAAAAGATTTACATCTATTTTATGTTTTGTCCTATCTCATCATGAACCACAAGGCATAAGCATTTTAAGAATATTATGAATTAAACTAGTCCCCCCACCCTGACCCCCTAAAATATACCACTGTGGGAGGGAGGGTATAAAATGTTTCATTAATCTTGAACTTTTTCAGGGATGTTTTTATAACAATTACAGGAAGACAGGATGGTCTAAAGCAGGCGCAGTACATTATGGCGAACATTGTCAAGTCCAACATGCACAAGATGAACCTTGTCAGCGCAACTGCCTCCATTACCACCAAGAAAGAAGAAGAGCCTAAAACCAGCTGATAATATTCTTCGAGGATTTTTGTATTTTCGAGGACTTGCATTTTTTGTAATCCTCCAATTCTCTGACGAGTCGAAGTTATGAATTTATTATGTTTGAAATCCTATTTTGCAGAAAAAATGTCCGGAGTGTCGAATATCGACATGATGGAGGGAGAGACGGAGTTCCCGGAGGATATCCTGGACGACGACGACTACTCCGAGATGCCGGAGCTAACGGAGTCTCCTAAGAAAACTGGTGTATCAGAGGCTAAGGTTGGATTGGAATGAGAATTAAGGGGTTTTGTGAAGGATTTTCGCAAAATTCTACTGTTTCTGAGTTTGTAAAAAATTATTGCGCGTTGTTAACCCTATACTTTATGTGTACAATGGGTAAATGGTGCCGCCCCCCCCCCCCCCCCTAGGAGATTAAGACTTTAAAGTAAAGGTTTAGAGTACAATACATATTCAATGTTCATTGCTTAATTTGTCAAGGCCAGCCCATTAATAAATAATTAGAGCCCTAACTTTAATTGTTAGGGTCCTACGGAGGTTTTAAAATAAGGCCAAAAGGCCGAAGAGTAAAAACCAAAAAATTTGTTTAACAGATAATAAGTTGTGCCACATGTTCTTCTATTCATTTATTATGGGCTCTTCAAAAATGTTGATTAAAGATCTATGGCTTAAAAAAAAAGTTAAGGGCTATTTTAGATTATTTTTTACATCTTCTCTACCCTTTGAATAAGATAAAATTAAAATTAAGATTAAAATTACTATTTCTTATAAGTCGAGAAATTTCAAAGTAATTAGTGTGGAAATTAATATAAATAATAAGATTGTTTTGTTGTAAGTATTCAAGTATTATAGAGGGATTTTATTAAAAGTTATCAAACATTTTACTCATGAGGCCGAATTTCTGTTTATTTTTATTAGTTATTCCGTGTTAAATGTATATTTTTATTAATTTTTTTTTTTTAATATTATTTTTACTACAGTTGAACCCTAAATAAGCCATACATAGAAAGAATTTGTCAAATGTCGTCTTGTCAATTTTTCAATGGGTTTTATACTATTTTACATAAATCTCAGTATTTGCGAAAATAGATTAATAGCCATGAATATGCAGAAATAGTTTTAAAGAGTTCCATATAATCAATTAATTAAAAAAACTAAATATCTGCAACATTCCATTATCAGAAAGTGTAAATTACGACATTTGATGAATTCTTTCGATGTATTCGTTATTAAGAGTTTCACTGTATATTCTATAAATAATGAAATACTTTGACAATTTTATATTTCTTGGTCTCCATATTCTTCTTGTTTGTTTATCTTCCATTGTGTTCGGCTAATATTAAAACTCAATTTATAGAAATGACTTTTCTCACATAATGTTCCCAGGATACTCCCAACGAAGCTAAGGAGGAGATACATGAAACCTCTGGTATTGTCGGAGAGTGGGAGGATATCCTAGGCTCCGGGAGATTAAGGTATTTTATAGATATATTTGTGAGAAATCTGAATAGAGGGAGGTACAGGGTGACCCACTTAAGTTGAGACTTCAGAGACGACTATACGAAAATTATTTTTCTAATCCTGCAGCTGTTCACTTGTTTTTTTGTTGTTGCTTATTTTCGTCATCTTGTATAATTATACCTTTTTATTTATAATTTTTAAAACGCCACAGATATTCATATTTAAACAGGTATGGGTAGTCCTTAAAGCGACTGTAGATGGAATTTCAAGTGCCATTCTATTTGAAGAGAAGCAAACCCGATTTACAACAGTACCCTTAATACATATGTCTGACCAAAAGTGATAAAATATACTCCTTAATTACGATTATTATCTTATATATAAATATTTTTAAAGGGAACCCATGGGTGCCCTGGGGGTAGCATAGGCTTAATAAAATCTATATATAAATTTGGCTTGTCTTTCTGTTTGTCTGTCTGTTTGTTTGTATCCAATAAACGTCAAAACGGCTGAATCGATCGGGCCCAAATTTTTTGTGTGACATCACGTGACCACAGGGAAGGTTTATGAATGATCAAAATTTCAAATATTTGTCTCTATCAAAATTCGATTATCATTAAATTTTTGAAAATTTTGAAAATCCACGAAATTTTTTGTGAAAATCCGCGAATTATTTTTGTTTTGTTTTACGATGTACACAAAGAGAACATGTTCACAATTAATTTAGAAGATGGGCGCGAAGCGCCCTCTAAGGCTAGAAAGAAGGGCGCGAAGTGCCTTGAATTTCTGGTTTAAATAAATTTTTTCAAAAACCAAACATTATTTTTAAATAGTTTTTCAAAATTTTTATTTTTTTTCAAAATTATTTTTTTTGAATTTACACGGGCAACTTTGGGAACTTCAGCTAGTTATTACCACTAAAAGAGAAAGATAGACTCGTCAACACCCACCACCCCACCCCTTATCCCCTTTTCCTGCCTGGGCTATCTGGAACTCTCTCCCCTTCGCGTCCGGTCACACTGTTATGTGTACATTTTAATTAGTATTCCGGCGTTGATGTCACTGAGTCAGTAGAAGACTAAGAAAATACATATGATTCGCTTGCTTTCTTTTACAGAGTACTACATGTATTAACTTCATATGGGACATATAGGGCCTCTAATGTGAGAAATGTTTATAAACATCTACATCTACCTGATACCGCTTGTACTCAAGTACACGTATACTCTATTCTTTATAACTACCTATACTCTATTCTTTATAACTCTATTTTATTACTACTTGTGATTTAGGAAGAAGATTCTAATAGAAGGAACAGGAGATAAACCTGATAAATCTATACGGGTTCGGATTCATCTAAAGGAATTCTTGTACGAGGACGGAGATTGTATTAAAGGTAATTATTATTATTTGGTTTCATTGAACATATCAAGTTTAGTTGTGTGAGCTTACTTAGCTTTAATTTTAGTTTTTTTTATCAGATAGAACGGGGTTTGATATTTTTAACTTGATAACGCTTGGTTTGGTGGTATTTGACTAATGTGAATGTTTTGGTTCACAATGAATATTTGGCAGGCTCAACTTTTTTTCTTCTCTGAAACTCTCACTCTTATAAATAACTGCAACTCCCCTCCCCCTACCTTGCCGCCCCCTCCCCTTTAATTAAAATGATATAAATTATTATGATTTTTATGTTATAAATTTAGGTTTCAACGGGGCTCTTATGGAAAATATGTACATCAATAAATGAATTTATTATTATTATTATAATTAAGTAATTATTAGATGAGGAGTTAGAGATGAATGTTGGAGAGTTTGAACTTGTCCAAGCTCTCGATCTTATTCTTCCATTGATGAGAGTTGGAGAAACGTGCAGGATTGAGGTTAATTAGTTTTAAAAATAGACCCGAACCTTGTTAAAAATTTACGGAATAAAAAAAAATTGTCTTTTTAATTTTTATGCTGAATCTTGATAAAAATCTCTCATTAGTTAAATTACCTACTGCCGCCTGCCAATTCAAATCCTGAATCAAAGATTCAAATCCTGAATCATAGATTCAAATCCTGAATCATAGATTAAAATCCTGAATTATAGATTCAAATCCTGAATCATAGATTCAAATCCTGAATCATAGATTCAAATCCTAAATCATAGATTCAAATCCTGAATCATAGATTCAAATCCTGAATCATAGATTCAAATCCTGAATCATAGATTCAAATCCTCACGATTCTTTAACTTTGAATCGGTGATGAAGGATTTGAACCGGCGGTAGTTAGTTAAGCAAATTCATTAAATTCTGTGACAAACACACTAATACAAAGTTATGAGACAGTTTTACATCTTTGAAACTAGGGGTTTATTAAATAAAGATAATTTCTCTGTCCCTTCATTGTCTTAAAAGCGCCGAAAATGTGTGGCTTAATTTACAGATTTATAACATAGGTTGGGGCAAAGTAATATTTTAAGGGGGACCGGAGCAGAAGACAAGTTATTTGTCGAAAGGTTCTCTATAAATTACAGAAAGTAGAAATTATACAAGTGTGATATATCTAGAGTGAGAGTGCGTTCTGTTATGGAGAACAAGGGGACGGAGATAGGGTTCCTGGAAACCACAAACTTTATCTAGAGGTGGAGCTCATCAGTGCCAGGGACCTTGGACCCATCCGGGACCTTCCTGATCCAGACAGACCAGTGTAAGTAATCTCCAGATAGACCAGTGTTAATGCTCACTAAGATAGACTTGTGTAAATTCTGACCCAGATAGACCTGTGTTAATTCTGACCCAGATAGAACTGTAAATTCTGACCCAGATAGACCAGTGTTAATGCTGACCAAGATAGACCTGTGTTAATGCTGACTCAGATAGACCTGTGTTAATTCTGACCCAGATAGACCTGTGTTAAGTCTGATTAGTGCGGCCTCCATTTAGTGACATTTATGATTCACAACGGTGCCCTTAAGACTGAAACCTATAAATGAATGAGATATTCTTAATTTTCCATCTAAAATTCATTATTTTCCCTTGTTTTTTCTCTTTGGGGTTAGATACGTTTTCAGAATTAGTTTTTTAAAATTAATAAGTAACGACGACATAAAATGTAGAAAAAGTTCTAATATAGACTACAGACGTCATGTATAGGAACATGTTGAGGAAATAAAAATTAATCTTATCATTAATCTTGTTCAATTACTAGTTTCTATTTTCTCATTATTCTGGTTTCTCATTATTCACAAAGATTTTCTGCAGAATTTCTAGAATTATTATTGAAAAGACGTTTTTTGAAGAATTTGAAGAAATCTGCGAATAAATTCGAAGAAAATAAGAAATCCAATATAATAATGAAAACAAAATAATCGATTTTAGCATTGATTTATTGACTAATTTCTTTTGAGAAATATATTTCTAACCATCTAATTAAAAAAACCAATTCCGAAAACGTATCCACCCCCAAAGTAGGAGTTTTGAACGTTGAATTTGCGCTCAAACTCAGGATTTACAGAATTTATAGAATTGGAAATGAAAAGAGGGTACGAGGAAACTACTGGTTTAATAATAATAATAATAATAATTTATAGAATTGGAAATGAGAAGAGGTTACGAGGAAACTACTGGTTTAATAGAGGGGATTATAGTCAAGCTATTCAGTGTTACAGGTATTAAGAAATTGCTACGAAAATTTGCATCAATTTTCAAGACTGGGTCTACTTTCAAGTTTCGCAACGCCTTGAATTTGATTTTGCCTCATTAAATTACTTTTTTGTTGCCATTTTGACACTGTTAAGCAGTTGCTTCAGTTTATAAGAACTTAAGTAAAGCATAGTAACTATCTTTGTTTTAAAAGTTTTTTTTTGTGTTGTGAATTGATCTCCATCTTAAACAGATCTGGTAATTAATGTAATTCCATTTCGATATCCCTTGGGGGTCATAATCTGCAGATTGACAGATCAAGCATTTATCCTCAAATTTAAAAGTGTCAACATTGGATATTGAGATCAAGCGGTTAGGATTAACGACGCTCCAAAAGACAGTTCCGATCTCTAAACATTTGAATCTTTTCAAGTTAACAGTGATAACCTTTGATGGTTTAAACTTTGCCTATTTGATTTGATTCTGTGTGAGTGAAAAACAGGGATAATCGATTTTTTTGAAAAAAATTTTATAATTTTTTTTTGTTCTGAGTTAAGATGTAATTAAATTAAAATGTGATAAAAAAATGTTTTTGGAATATAAACAAAAATCTACTAAACCAATTTCTATAGTTTTCCAAAATTTCATTTTAAAAAATCAAAAATTGAATAAGATATAACAAAAAATGTAAGCCAAATAGTGGCATTTTTGAAGTCATAACAGTTCTAACAATAGAAAAAACATTTTCATAACAAATTTTTAAATAATTTATTTTAATTAAAAAAAAATTTGTTTGAAAATTTTGTCCAAAACATCGTGTTTCTCTGGTTTTTTACTCAATCTGTATTCTCATTATTTAAAATATCAAAGGTCAAAATATTGTAAGATTTGGGTTAGTAGCTGGTGTAATTATTGAATCTCGTTAAAAATTATTTTAAGTTATTTATTTTTTCTCAAAACATTTTATTGTATTGTAATTTATTAAATCAGAAAAGCTGCTGAGTTTCTTTATGATGAAAACCTCGATGATCAAGAGTTAGAGGTGAGAATCTAAATTAATTATTAATTATATTAAAAACAGTGCTTGTGATTCATTTTATTTTAAAATTATGGAACCACCTAGAAAAATAATAATCAATTTATCAAGTAAGATTTTTAATACTTAATTCATTACGTATTTTCTCAATTTATCTTAAACTTCAAACCAACTAATTTGTCTCAAATATATTTTCCCTTATCATTAGGTAAATCACAAACCAAGCCCCCCCCCCCTCTCTCTCTCTCTCGACTCAAATATATTTTCCCTTATCATTAGGTAAATCACAAACCAAGCCCCCCCCCCCCTCTCTCTCTCGACTCAAATATATTTTCCCCTATCATTAGGTAAATCACAAACCAAGCCCCCCCCCCCTCTCTCTCTCTCTCGACTCAAATATATTTTCCCCTATCATTAGGTAAATCACAAACCAAGCCCCCCCCCCCCTCTCTCTCTCGACTCAAATATATTTTCCCCTATCAACAGAAAAATGGACCAAATATACATACACGACGTCACAAGTGTCAAATTTAACGAGGAAAACGAAATTTTCTCACATTAGTTGACATTATTTACAAGATTAAATAAAAAAGTGTTAAAACAGACAATAAAGAACACATAAAATTCCACACTTATTTTTCTGGAAGTTAAGCACTTTATTCTAAAATTATCACAATTATTAATAATTTTGTCGGACACAAAAACTGAATTGACACTTGATGCTGTACTACAATGTGACGTCAGAATACAGCTATACTGAGAGTGTACAAAATCAACGTTGCCATTTATTGCATAGAATCTATTTGGGATAAACTATTTACTTAGTTAAAAATTAAAATAACAAAGAAAAAATAAATTATCGCTTAAAAAAACTAACAGGAGTAAAATATAGTAAAACCCATAAATATCAGAAGAATAAAATTAATAATTAGATGAGAAATGGAAGATCATGGTGAAAGAGGTTAATATAGAAATAAACTATATATTTTCAGTTAATCCTTTAAATATCAGATGGAATAAAATAATAATTGAGAAAGGGACGAACAGAGATAGAAACTATGTATGTTCAGGCAAATCCTGAAAAATCTGGAGAAATAATTAAAACTTGAAATATTAAAAAAAATAGATAACCATGATGAAAGAAACTTTCAAGATAGAAGTATTACATTTATTTTGGTGTAACCTAAAAGATAAGAAGAAATAGATGATAACTGAAAAAAGAGACTAACAGAGATTGAAACTTAAGTATTTTACCTAACCTTGAAATATTAGAAAAACTAGATAATCAGACTTATAGAGATAAATAATAAATATTTTATTAATAACATGAAATATTTGAAGAAAAAAAATGATTATTGAGAAAGAGACTATTAGAGATAGTAGCTATACATGTTCAGTTAATCTTGAAAATCTGGAGAGGTAAATATTGAAGGAGAAAGAGACTATTAGAGATAGTAGCTATACATTTTCAGTTAAATCTTGAAAAATCTGGAGAAGTAAATATTTAAGGAGAAAGAGACTGTTAGAGATAGATATTCTTTATTTTCAGTTAAACTTTGACCGGTTTCTACTTCCTCCAGCATCTCAGAGAATTATAGAGGACAGAGTTAAAACTTTAAATAATATGTGCCAGGTAAGCATGTTTTAAGTTGGAGGGCCACAGCTTGGACCAAAATATAGTGCTTCAAACTAGTTTCATGCATCAAAAAATCCTGCACTTTCCTGAAAAAGGAACTGGTGATTTATTTATTTGTTTTAGTTAAAGAGCATCATTTTTCATCTAAGTGGCCTTAGAAAAAACGAGAAACCTGACCCATCTGCACCCCCTTGAGATAATGAGATCTGAGCCTCTGGGTATAGAACCTGTTAGGATCGTATACTGGTATATACGACATGGGTCAGGCCGTATGTTGGAAATATCATGAGACCCAGTATAATGTTTTGTTACACTTTTTTTGTATTCCCCTTAGGTAGTTTCCTGCTTATTATTATTCAAAGAAGATCAAGATCATCTACAGCTAATGGATTTTCCACATCATCATGTTAAAAAAAAATATCAAGGTCATCTTAAACTACTGGATTTTAGAATCTTATATAGGGAAGATGATGAAACTGCTGGATTTGCTAAATATCACCCAAAGAAGATTGAGATCAACTCTGCCTGCACTACACCCACGCACATTTTCTTATCTTTATTAAGAAAGATCAAGATCAACCATACTTTATCTATAGCTACTGGATTTTCTAAATCTTCCCAAAGCAAGATCAAGACTAACTCTTATTGGACTAAAGCTACTAGATTTTATAAGTCTCCATAGTGGATCCTAGATCAACTATGTCTGCCTTTCAGCCACTGGATTTTCCATATCTTGCCCATAGAAGATCAAGATCAATTATAACTGCACTACAGTGATTGAATTTTCTTAGAAAATGGACATTAACATTAACTTGTCCGACACATACTAAAGCTTTTGGAAATTCTTAATCATGACCTACAAAGATCAACAACAACTGCTTGATCTTATTAAAATAAGATCAAGATTAACTAGCCTGCACTAGATATACTTGATTTTCTAAATGTGAAACAAAGATCAAGATCTACAAAGCCTGTTTTAAACCTGATGGATGTTTGACATTTGCCCAAAGAAGATCAAGATCACTGAACTACTGCTACTGGATTATCTAAATTATGTTCAAGGATATCTCGAGATCAATACTGGGTTTAACCTCAGCCACCTCATTTTCTGAATGTTGCTAAAAAAAGATCAATATCAACTAAATCTTATCAACAACTGCCAGAACTTCTGTGAATTTTCCCGATTGTTATGCTTGCTACGGGAATCCTGATTTTCCAAGCTACCTTGCAACATTACTTACCAGTTTCTCCAAGTACAGTTACAGTTATAAAACAACATATTGGAACCAATAAGTCATTCTTCTAATCACACAGGTTAGAATTAGACAGAAAGATATTATTACACAAAAAAACTGTGGGTAATTAATTATTCATTACCCAAGCAGAAAACCAATGGTTGAATATTAGATATTCATCAAGAAAAATGAAAATATAGAAATCCTCGGGTCAACAAATAAAATTTTTGAAATATTTCTTTTTAAATTTGAAGCACATATTAAACTGTTTAAACTTTCTTAACTTTCTAAAACAACAATGTCAATGATTAATAATATAAAATTAAGACATAAAAGATCTATTATCGCTTTCTGAAAGAAATAGTTTCTGTTACTAACACAATGCAAAGTCTAAGAAATAAGAATAACAGATTTTTAAGGTGTCAAATTTCTGTTATGAACACAATACAAATTCTTAGAAATAAGAAAAATAGATTATTAAAGCATCAAATTTCTGTTAGTAACAGAACGCGAAGTTTTAAAAATAAGAATAACAGATTATTAAGGTATCAATTTTCTGTTACTAACACAATGCAAAGTCTTGGAAATAAGAATAACAGATTATTAAGGTATCAAATATCTGTTATTAACACAATGCAAAGTCTTAGAAATTAGAATAACAGATCAAATTTGGCTTTTTTTAAAGAAAGTTACAATTGGCAACAATTAGAGATACTTAAAAAAATAAATAAGTTTTTAATTATTGAAAGGTTTAATATTGAATTAACTTCCAAAAATATGCAGATGCAGTATTTTAAAATTCTGCATTATCCTTCTGAATAATAATAACAACCAGTTTACAAAGAATATGAATCATAAAAACAGTTGACGCCGAAACTTGACTGTCCAAATATTGATTATAAACCATTTTTACTAACTTACAAAACAGAGTTTTCTAAAATCTGATAGCTTAAACAGCAAGACTCGAAATGTTGGACATACTGGACTCATCTATAAGAAAGATTTGAATTAAATCTAAGGTCATTTTCTTTATTCCTAAATCTTCACACTTTCTTCTTACTCATATTTATTCTTTTTCTGGTATCGCCGCCTGCTTTATCTGTATATTACAATTTTTTTGCAACTGTTACTGGTTATCATTTCAGGATATAAAACAGAAAAAGCACAATTTCTATCAAAACATTAAGAACAGAAAACAGAGACAGAACTGTTTTTTATCCAAACATTTGGAACATTAAACAGAAACAGCACAACTTCTTTCAAAACATTTAGACAATAAAAACAGAAACAGCACCTTTTCTATCAAAACATTTAGAACAATAACAGTACAATTTCTATTAAAACATTTAGGTTAGAAAACAGAAACAGTACATTTTTTGTTAAAACTTAGTCTGAGATGATTATTGAAGGTAAGGTTGTAGAAATATTTCAGGTCCCAGTAGACAAGGATATCTGGCCTTCTGATTTTACAGAAATGGCAGAACCAAGAATTGAAGTTTTGCTCAAGCTGTCTGAGGTATTCTCCACGTCAAACACTTAATTTTGGTTAATCCATATATCTGAATAACCTAGATCTAATGAATAGAAAGAAGTAGTTGAACCACCTCTCTTGTGGAAACGTTGATAACCTGCCTGTTATGCTTTTAAATAACTCAATTTGTTTGTAAGATGTTCACCCTTTTATTTAATAATGGTAGAAGAATAAGGCACACTTTTGGTCTAAGCTGTAATAACTTTAGATATGGAAAGTTTAAGAAAGAGTTCAAAACATGAATTATGAATCTATCTACAAGGAGAATTCGTTTGAAACACTCTACAGACCTTCGAAAATTCCAAAGGGGAATTGTATTATCAACCTCTGAAAATTGTTAACAAGATCCATAATTTAGTGATGATTTATCCTAATTTTTCTATAATTTTTTAGAAAACACTCCCTTTAAAGGTTTGTTTATTGCTAGAGAAGAATTATTTGTAATAAATCATAACTGACTTTTTTTTTTTATAAATTTCAGGCACAAATGAAATTGAAGGCTTGGGATTCAGCATTAGTCACTGTAAATCAGGTTAGTTAGTGTTTTTATTCAAATATATTTATCAAATTATTATTTTATTGATGGTAAATCACTTAAACTGTTTGTCAGTATTTTAACACCCTACTCTTCCAATAGCCATCTCAAACTTGCTTTAAAAATGTACATTTTTCAAGGATTTTTCACTACAGCACATATCTCAGCATATTTAGGCTTCCTGAGCTGAAAACTTTAGAATGGATATCCTTAATCCCGATCGTTCAATTAATCTGGAGATTAATAACAAGAGAAGAACAAGCATTATTTAATCTCGAGATTATGAAAAAGAGTGTATCAAGCCTTAATCCCGATATCCGCCATTCAAAAGTTCCCAGCTCTGATACAAGATCCACGAAATAAAATATCCACCAAAGCCTGCTAGAAAGGAAAAAAAAAATCTTTTTAAAGATCAAATCTCTACACATAAGAGATAAATAGAAATTTCCAAATTTTGAATGGTTTAGTATAAAAAGAAGTATAAAAAGAATAAAAATTGCTGACAAAATTTTCATTTGTTGAAAAAGGCGGTAACTCTACAGGGCCTGGATCCGGACGGATATGTATCAGGATCTGCACTAAAATGAATTTGATCTTATGCACTGGTTTTACATATATTTAGTATTCTTATATTTTTAACATCTCTTTAAGTTTATGTTTGTATTTGATTTTTATCTATTTATTTTGATTGAAATATTTTAGGTTCTTCGTATTGAAGTTAGGAATGAAAAAGCCATCTTTAGGAAAGGAAAGATCCACAAAGCTCTGGGAAATGTTAAGGAATCTTTAGGTGGTTTTAGTACTTGTCACAGTGTTACACTGTTACAAGAAATTCGAACATTTTTTTCGTAATATCGAAGTAACCTAGAGCATTTCGAACTTTCGGATATTTTTTTCGAATCTAGGAACAAAACGTTCGAAATTTCTTACGAATTATACAATTTTTTCGCATTTCGTTCGCCTAAATTTCGCTTTAATCTGTTTCGCGGAAAAACACAAAACTTTCACGAAATAAGAAAAGCGAAAATTTTGCGGAGAAAAATGAAAATTTCGCCAAAATCAAATGCGAAAATTTCGCGAAAAAATACGGATTAGAAATTATTAATAATGATAAAATAAAACTTCTAATGCTGAGAACTCAAAGCTGAGAATTCCACAGTTTTTTTGCGCAATTAACTGTTACACTTTTGGTTTTCGCGGAATTTTTTTTTAACAAGATTTTTTGCGAAATTTCGTTTCTTTTTGCATTTTTTGCTTGATTTTTCGCGAAAGCGAAAAAGTTCACGAAATGCGAACGAAAATTTTGGAAACCTTAAGTACAAGCTTTAAGACCTCACTTCATTCTTGAGATAGTAAATTATTTAAGTTTGAGTAAATTATTTAAGTTTGGAGGATGGATACTAAATAGTAGCACATCCTCAACAGCCTGATTCTATTTGATTTTGAAGCTATCATTTTTTACAACATGATTTAACATAAAAACCTATTTAAAAGTTGTGCACTATTAGGGCTCTTCTAAAAACCCCTAAGACCTATCAGTTTTTACTTATTATTAAAAATAATAGTTTTAACATTGTAGTATCAACTTTCTAATTTTATTTATTTTTTAATGCGTACGTCAGAAAGTAAAGACACTGCCTATCAAATAGCGTAAAAAACATTGAAATTTGGTTAATCTTTATTTTATTTCAGCAATGATGGAGAAAGTTCTTCGGATCTATCCCCACAATAGATTAGCCCAGGTATATTCTAGACAGCTCTCTAAGTGTTAAAATTGATAATATTCTTAACTAAATTAATTGTTGATTACTGCAAACACTTCTTTCAAATCTACTCCTCCTCCTCCAATTCCATTTCAGCCTTTTTCTTAACTTCTTGTTTTTATTTAATTTATTATACTGTTTTTGTTCATTTATTATATTGCTACTATTTAATTTAATTATATAATAGTCTGGCCTTACTAGATAGATAAAGACAACATGTCCGTCAGTGTTGACTGTTGATATCATGTCAGAAAAAAATACATTTTTACATCCTCGCGTTGAAATCCAGTAGTATATAAGGAAAATCTTGTATATCATAATTATTTTCCTACAAATACTTTATTTTCCTCAATAAAGTGAGAGAAAAAAATTACTCAAACCATGAGGGGGGGGGGGTCCAAGTGGGGGCATGATTTTTCAAGAAATACCTACAGTCTAATCCACAACTTCAGGGACACCTTACGAATTTATTAAATGTCGTTTTCTTAACCTACTGTTCTCGCATATTTAATTTTATTTTTACAATTACTGTGATTTATGTCTTACAGTATAAAACCAATTGAAAGATTCCTAAGACGACATTTTATCAAGTCTTTCCATTTCTCCGAAGTTCTTAGTTACACTGTTTTATATCCAACAGGTTGAGGTAAAGGAATTAACTAAGAAGCTGAAGGAAACAACGTTGAAGGAGCAACGAATGGCGAGGAAGGTAAAAAGTAAAACTCGAAAAAAATATCTTATTACTGACCGGTTCATGTACATAGGAAGACATTGTACATAAAATTGTAAACGTGGTAAGCAAAAAAAGCACTCACAGGGGCGTTCACTCGGGACGCATTAAGGAATTTTTCCATTTTTCATTCCCAACACCCGTTTGGACCTGAAAACCCCCTAAATACACTGGTCTAAAGTATTTAAGTGGCCATGCTTAGTTCTGCTTTTCATTAAATCCGATCTCGTCACATTAACCTTTTTTCAGATATAAGTAATAGATTTTTTATATTTATATCTATCTATCTAGATGTTGGGACTACCTGAAGACCCACCTCCTCCACCACCTCAACCCCTGATAACGAAAAACGAGCAGATTATCCGAGCTACCCTTGGCGCCATTGTCGCGCTTACAATCGCTATTCTTGTGCGCGAGATATCAAAGTTGTTTTAGTCCGACTGTTTGCATTGTTTAAATCGTTAAATGATTTTAAGACATTTTTACCATTCTTTTGATAAACCCTTAAATACTGAGCTTTCAATTCAGTTATTTTAATTAATGTTCACTGTTACCAAATTAACAAGATGTTAAGTGTCATGTCTGTTTTACTATTTTTAACTGATATTTTGTCAGATATTATTACTAACTAGTGTAGATCGTTCAGGCTCGAAGTTATGTTGCCAATTTTAGTATTTTGCATTTTTTAAATTTGAAATTGTAATATTTAGTGATCTCTGTTTTATTTATGTTTTGCACAAATGTTTCGCAAATCTTGTACAATTGATAATGCATGTAACAATTAGGTTGTACAATTAAATTAAATGTCAATCGAAACATTAATCTAATCCATCCAATATGCATTTTCTGTGATTTGAAGGGAAAAAATAAATAATAATTTGATCATGTTGTCCTGTCCTAAATATCAATCATTGTTAATTTTAGATATAATGTTAATGTTCCTTCTAGACTCTCTTGAAGATGACAACAATTTACAATTTGACTTGGCAACCCAAAGTTCCTAGGAGTAGCTCGAAAATGGAAAAGGCATTAAAAATTAAATTTAAAATTTGACAATTTTCTTTTTCTCTGTAATTATGTATTAAGATATTTTCGTTTTTAGTATACAAGTGCGATTAAAAGGTGGTATAAGCAGTTAAATTAGAAACTACGTCTTGTGTTTGCAGGGATATGTTATGGTGTTGTGTTGTATAAGTTCAACAAACACTTTTTTTGATGTGTGTACTCTGTTTTGTGTGTGTACATTGTGTACTCTGTGTTGTGTGTGTGTTATGCAACAATTTTCTGATTTTTTGTCAAAGGGGAACAGATGAAAACTTTGTTTTTGCAAATACGACCCCTGATATTATAAATGATGCTCTTAAAAAAACTAAAAAGTAAAAACAGTTCTGGACCAGACAAAATTTCAACAAATTTGCTAAAGTCTATCATACCAATTATCATGAATCCTATTTGTCATTTATTTGATTTATCTTTCAAAACTGGGTTTATTCCTACCACTCTTAAAACTGAAAAAATAGTCCCAATCTTCAAGGCTGGGGAAACGGATAATTTTACAAATTATAGGCCCATAAGTTTGCTTTCTTCGTTTTCAAAACTTTTAGAAAAAGTGGCAGCAAATCAAATTATGAAATATTTGAATAAATTTAAACTACTTTATGAACATCAGTATGGCTTCAGAGCCAAGCACAACACTACTCAACCCTTAATTCATTTCTTAGATAAAATATACAACGCACTAAATAAATCTGTATCCGAATATACTCTGGGAATTTTATAGATTTAACTAAAGCTTTTGATACCTGTGATGTTGACATTCTACTGAGCAAGCTTGAACACTATGGATTTCGTGGGACCTCTAACTTATGGTTCAAAAATTATTTAAAGGGAAGAAAACAATTTACTTCAATCAGGGGTGTTGACTCTTAACTTAAAGAAATCTCTTGTGGTGTACCACAAGGGTCGATATTAGGACCAATTTTATTTCTAATTCTTATCAATGACCTTCCTAAAGCATCGAAATTTTTTACAATTCTTTTTGCCGATGATACAACACTTCAACTGATATTACTTCTAATTCAGTTTGGAAAAAAGTGAATATCAGGTTTCGATGTTTTCATGGAAAAAGACTAAACTCCGAAATCCGGGAACCCTTGATGGAAAAGTTAAATGAGACTTCAGTGACGATTGTACGGAATTTACATTGTCTGTTTCCTAATCTATATATAAATTTGGCTTGTCTGTTTGTTTGTTTGTTTGTTTGTCTGTCTGTCTGTCTGTTTGTATCCAATAGACGTCAAAACGGCTGAACCGATCGGGCCCAAATTTTTTGTGGGACATCTAGGGACCCCAGGGAAGGTTTATGAATGATTGAAATTTTAAATATTTGTCTCAATCAAAATTCGATCGTCATTAAATTTTTAAAAATTTTGAAAATCCACGAAATTTTGTGTGAAAATCCGCGAATTATTTTTATTTTGTTTTACGATGTACACAAAGAGAACATGTTCACAATTAATTTAGAAGAGGCTAGAAAGAAGGGGGCGAAGCGCCTTGAATTTCTAGTATTCAATACTTCCGGAAATTAAACATTTATTTTTAATTTCTTTGCAAAAACATTAAATGAGCCATTAAAGGACTGTATTTAAAGCAGAAGACCTAATTTAACCATGGGATTGTCATATTTCAATTTTTAGGTCGTCTTTTCACACTCATCATTTGTGGACAGCCCTGTACATTCGATAAGATTAGATGCCCATGTAACGTTAATTGATCCATAGATTTAGGCCAATTTTATTTATTTGAGTTATTTTGCTACCCTGCAACAATTCTCCATTGATTTTAGTGGCCTCAATGTGTCATTGGAAATTTGGAGCTTTTGTTATAGAAGCTTTCATAAACACTTGCAAAACATGTAATTGCACAATATTGATTCGTCATTCTATAAAATATAAACATTATTCTAATTATATATTGAATATTGCAGGGTTGGCTAAACATAATTAGATTTTTTACCATGAACTAGAAATCGTAAAAATATCACAATCCACGATCTGCGACAAATTGCAATGTTAAAAATGCTAATCGATTATTGTACAAGGAATAAAAAATGAGCTTATAGTGGCAATGCGAGTTATAAAATGAAGCAAAAATAACGAATAAAATCTGTCTCTAAAGTTTCATTGTTTGTGAATAACCCTGTACTTCTGTG